TTTTGGAGAAAATAAGGCAAAGTTTAAGAGGATAGCCGCAAATCACGGGGGATCTACACTTTGCTTAATTAATTCTTTTCTTGTTGATTTGGACCCTTTAAAGCCACTATCTTTCTATCATGTGTGAGTTTTGTTTATTTATTTTTTTCGATGTCGAGTAACTGTACTGGAACCGCACTAACTTTTGATTCCTGTCGAAAAATTTATATTGGGGATTAAAGCGTTTCTTAATAAAGTCGACTTCCTATTCATAGCTTGAACCAAGATATTTTGTTAAGGATAAAAGAATATTTACTACTCCAACACAATTATTGTTATGTCTGGTATCGATATTGGAACCGAACTAAATTCAAAGTCGCATCGGAAAGCCCAACATTGGAGGTAAAACATTCTTTAACAAATGCGAATATATACTCGGTGCTCGAACCAAAAAAGTTAATTAAAATAAAAGAGTATTTATCACTCCATAACAAACCCTTGTTAGTTAGCATATGTGAGTTGAGATTGAATGCATAGGGTTTTTTAATGAAGATATATTGCTCAAGGGAAAATTTAATAAATTAGAAATTCTTAATTTGGATTCTTTATTTGATGACCTAAGTGTCTGTTCAAATTTGAATTAGAAGAAAAAAAGGATGAAGATATGATGACTTTTAAAAGAGGATTCTTGGCTCTTTATATTATGATTACTAAGGTTAGGTTGATGCCATGTCTCACTTTTTTTTTTTATCTATCTATTATAATATATTTTTATATTTTTTAATAAATTCATTATAAGCGACAACAACAACAACAATAACCCAGTATAATCTCACTAGTGGGGTCTGGAGAGGGTAGTGTGTGCGCAGACCTTACCCCTACTCTGGGTAGTGAGATTGTTTCCGATTGACTCTCGGCTCCCTCCCTCCAAGAACTCCCCACCTTGCTCTTGGGGTGACTCAAACTCACAACCTCTTGATTGGAAGTGGAGGGTGCTTATCACTAGAGCAACTCACTCTTGTCAAATTGATTATAAGAGACAAAATGAAAAATATTTTCTATTATGAACACATTTTTCATTGATTATGATGACTTTCTATTTATATCTTAACAATCATGTCTCAAAAAAATTACGGGACTCCTAGAATGAAGTCAATGAAGTGAGTAACAAATAACTAAATCACCAAATTAGAAAGACACCCAGCCCAAATTTATTTAGAGCCCGTTTGAAAAGCCACTTATGATTTGGATTTGGATGTAATTTGATGTAATTAGACAGTTTAACATATTTGTCTGACCAAGTAATTATTTGGTCAGCATGGAATTGAATGTAATTGGCTATATGTAATTACACTTCGATTCTCAAGGGGAGGTAAGAATTGGTGTAATTACACTGTGTAATTACAAGGTTACTTTTTAATTTCTTTCCTTTTTGTTTTTATTTTAATTTATTTTCTTTATAACTTTTTATTTCCATTATTTTATTTTTTTTAATTTTTTAATTTTATTTTTACTTTTTAAATTCTTTTTAATTTCTAAAAAAATATTTTTCTTTATATATTATTATTTTTTTATTTCTCTACCTTTACTTCTTATGATTCCATATATTGCTCGTATATTTTACTTCTTATTTATTTTATTTTCTTCATTTAGCGTTATTATTCTAATTTTTGAAATTACACCTCCTAATATTAGAAATAGTGAGTCATTAACAAACTTGGCATATAATGAGTGATGTCCTTAAAGTAGAAATTCGTTGTTGAATGAGGTTATAAACTTATTATGTTTCCTAATCTTTAAGTTGTATTGGAACTTATTTTTATTATGTTGGAATTTGACATATGTTAAACTATATTTTTCTATTGGATTTTGAAATTGTGTTATATTTATGGTTTCAATTTACTTTTTTAGTAGTTTTGACTTGTTATTTCACATTTTATGTTGTTTATCTTTTAGTTAGAATTGATAGAATAGTTTTATCATTATTTAAATAATATTATGATATTATATTTATAAATATTAATTTATTTATCAAACCCGCATCCCATGATGTTCTTACAAAATATATGTTTTTAATTTTTATAATTAATTAAACTAAATAGTATTAATTTAAAAAATATATATCAATTATTTTTACAATATTAGTTATAAACATATGATTACTAATTAATGTATATTCAAGAAAAAATATGCATCTTAAATACCAAATATAATATCATTTATACTTATAAAAATTATTTATAGGCATATATTAATTATATTAACTTTTAAGTTTTGATAATTACTTCATTTAAAATTTAATCTAACTGTGTAATTACACTTGTGCAACCAAACAGTACGCTTGTGATTACACTATAATTATGTTATGACAAACAAACATATTGTCGTAATTACTATATTGTGTAATTACTACCATAGTAATTACACGAAATATAATTATCAAGTGGCTTTTCAAATAGACCCTTAGGTAATAATACTGGTGCACATACACACAATAGGGGTGCATGTACGAGTTAAATTTAAGTGTTTATTGAAAATATAAAATGTAGAAAATATTAACCGGACTGAGTCATAAAATGAAATCCTTTTTTCTTTTGGGTAGAAAATTTTGATTTTTAGGACAAAACTAGAAAGTAAAAATGATTTTTACAACCCGAATATAAATGAGCCCAATTACCAAAGACGCAGATCTGAAATTTTAAGTTTATGGTTTTAGATTCTAGAAAAGATCAACTTTCTAGGTTTTTATTTTATCCATATATTAAATGAAATTTTTAACAACAAATACATGATTTGTGCCAAATTATTGTTAGCTATTCGAGTTACTCTCAAAGACTTGCAATTCCTCAAGCCACTCAACATTGTCTATATCTATCTGTCTTCATTGAATTTTCGCTATCTGTCTTGAGTTAAACAAGCACAGACCTATCTTAGTCTCTAGTGACCTGTTTCAGGAGACCTTTTTGAATCGCATCATAGAATATCCTCTCTCTAATCAAGCTCTATTGTTCTGAGGATACCCTTTCTTTGATTTAGAGGAGAAGGTGCAACATGTTATATCTTTTACACACAAGATTTAAAAGAACTAAAACTTGATGCTAGAAAATAACCCTAGTCCAAGTTATACTATGGAACATTATTAGGAATAAAATTAATTTTCTTGATTTAATATTTATGCCAAGCATGAGACATGTCTAATCATTGAAGAAGATTCTGTACTCTTGAAAAAACAAAGGCCCCTTCACATTCTCATTACAAACCATGCTTTAAAAACCCCCATGTGGAGACCATGTGAGTGATTTTTCCTTTCTTGCCCAAAGCCAAAACCTATGCCCTCTCTAAGAAATTTCATTGCTCTTGGGACCCACTATCAACCCCCTCCCCCCCCCCCCCCCCCAAACTTCTCCATGTTCTCCCGATCCGTATTTTTGTGCGGTTTAAGCAAGTCAATAAATACATAATATTTGTTTTTATGTAAATATTTCTCACTTAATTATGATTAAGTAATATATATTTTTACTCCATTAAATTACTTAACCATAATATAATAATATAATTTGCGTAAATACTCGATGCAAGTAAGTATTTATCGGAGCTAGCTATCCGAGGAAAATTCTTAAGTTTTTTTATTCTTGTTATTGTTGTAAATTCTAATGCCAAATTTAAGGTTCTTTGACTTATATAGTCTATAAACTACCTATCCCCCAATCAATCATTTGTATCTAATTTCTATGGATTTAATAGTGTTTGCATGCTGCATTTATTACGAGGCAGACTTAGAGTATTGGAAAATTGTTTGACTCAACCCATCATTTTCATTATATCGATCATATTGTAACTGTGTCATTCTTTTTTATTGCAAATATTGTGTTTAATTATATTGATTAAATGTTTCTAGTTCTAGCAACTTTACAATAATAACTCATTAAAAAGAATGCAGTTCATTAAAATTTTGATCTTTCTAGAATGGTTGTTCAACATTATACGAGGATATATATATGTCAATGGATGCATTAACGTTGGACATCTCGTAAAGCACATTATGAATATTATTCGTCAATTGGGTTTTTCTTTATTTTATTCTTTACTCGGCTTTAAGATAGTTTTGTTTTGAATGTTTATGTTAAATTTATCTATGTCTGATATTTATATCAAACTATATTAATATACCTACACTCAATTGATTAATTGAGGTCAAAGGATGTACTAATATCTATCGTTAAGTAATACAAATGTATGTAAAAAAACAAATACCATGCATTCATTAGTTCGATATAAACGTCAATTATGGGGAGGTATTTTCTGTATTGGTAATAATACATACAAAAGCCACTTCTTAAACTTAAAGGATCAACTATTTGATATTAAGTGTGTTACATTAGAAAACCAAAAGTAGTTTACATAATAATCCATCAACAATCAACACTACTTAAACAAAATTATTGTAAATATAGTTATTAACCCGCCCTCCCCAACCCCCGCCC